ATGTGTGATGATTTTTTATGGCTTAATTATTTGTGAATTGGATATCTTATCTTTGTATGATTAGAGGGGATGTTTGCTTAATAGAATAATCTATTTTAATTCATGTTTATTTTTAACATGAACTTTAGTAACTCAAAACCTTCGAGACACATATCACCTATTGCATTGTATCATTTTGCATGGGTGCTTGCTGTGTTGTCAAACTTCTTTGCTGCTGCTAATGCATTTACACTAACAGGGGAGTTAAGAACCCATGAATGTTTCCGTTTGTCACAAACAAGAGGACTTACTTCTAAATCGTGCACTAAAGATGATTGGAGGAAACATCTCTGTTGCAGTTGATATACTGGAGACCATAACAAAAGCAACATATAACATCAAAACCAACCATCTGAACTATTAGCATTGTTGCTTTACTCTTTTTTCGTGGTTGAGTCTCCTTCAAAAAATTTAGTTTGATTTTAGAAAATTTTGCTTCTGCAGTCCTGTCTTGCCACCAATGCTTTCAGTAGATGGAGATGGCAGAGGCGAAGGCTATTTTTGTGTTGTTGTTGCTGGTTTAGGGATCGGTTTGTGAAGAAGAGGGAGAAGAGAGGGGGAAAGGGAAATGCAGGAGAGGGGGATAACTCTTTTCTTCGACAAAAATGGAGTGAAGAAAGGAATTATGATCAGTAAGGATATGGTTATCTTACATAACGGTCTCTATTCTTTGTGAATTGAGCTTGGGAGGCAGTGATAAGGATGAGCTGCAACCAATTCATAGTGATAAGAGTGCTATGAACTGTGATCATGTCTTATTTCATGTTAGAAGGTAGTTTCAGTATAAGGATTATTTAATTTGACAAGTTGTTTCGACCATGATTCTTGGTAATTTCAGTGCCATTGTAGCCATTGTTTAGTCTGTAATTTTTGAGAATTGATGTGCGAGAGTAATGACTTTCACTTAGCTTCAACTATTATGTGTGTATTTATTGGCATGTGATAGAATTCTCTTTTCCTTTTCTTTGAATTCAGTTTCATACTCTAATTGAATCATTTGTACATAGGCAAATCATGCTCGAGATGACAACTCGCTGATATTGCTGGTGCAAGGAATGAAGCCATCATTAGAATTCAGACCGACAACGGGGAGGGATGCCCAGGACTAATTCAATGATGATTGATGAAGGTATAATAAAAACTACAGTCTGCATCAGCACCAATTTCTAGGCCTAAGTAAAGTTATTCAACCCAGAACTCTGCTTAACGGACGGTAAAAATTGCCCTCACCCAACCTTGATCCTGTTTGACCCACTTCTGAAGAGTCAAGATATATGACTAATCCTCTCCGTTCGTATTCTCTTATTGATTCTTTCTGACCCTTTAGGTTGGGGCGGGTCGGGAAGAATCGGATTAGTGGGCCGGTCCTAATCAAGTGGAATCTCAATCCCTTCACTCTCACTTGCTTTCTCTCCCATTCCACAAGTGGATAACATACAGTAATCCGGCCAATAGGCCGGGTAATAAGCTAGTTTACTGAGATATGCGCTGTTAAGATATTTACCAGAGAGTGGTTTATTAATATATCTGTGGTACAGGGCACTGTACCAGTGCCGCCACTTTTTTCTAACCGGTTGGAATGGTTGAATTTGTAAATTATTAGGTGACTCTGGTTTGGTAATTCAATTAATAAAACATAAATAAATCAAAAAGTGGAAAAAAATCAAAAACAACACAGCCGTTCCCTTCCACTCCTTTGTCCTTCCTTTGTATACCAAGCCAAGACTTCTGTCGGTGCAATCTACCACCTCGCTATTGTCGTCGATCGACCTCACCACCAAAATCACCACTGTCGTTGACGTGCAGATTACCGTCGACGATCAAGAGAGCCCGCCGGCAATCAAGAGAGCCCGCCGATAGCGGCATTGATGTGCAGATTGCCGTCGGCAATCAAGAGAGCCCGTCGATAACTCCCCGTTCGTTTTCCTAGTAGAACTGTTCGTAGCAGGGTTTTTTTTTTAAATTGTTCGCAGGATTATCTTGGAAAGAGAAGCGTCGAATAATAAATTAACATTTTTTGATGACAAATATACGCACCGTTTTGGTTCCGATCAGTAATAAACGTATAATAATTACATAAATGAATTAAATATAACTAGGTTCAACCTAATTTGGTTAATTGATAATTTATTATGGAGTGTCCTCATTTAATAGCTTCAATCCAGCTGCTGAAAGAGTGGCGGCACTCATGCAGTGCCTGCACCACAGAAAGCGTCATAATTGAAATGCTTATCAATGGGTTGTTTTGTCAATTTTGTGTATTCCGGAATAAAAGGATCACTCTCATCATTGAATTTCCTTGAAACAAGTGGTGTGAGTGGCTTCCCGTGATATAGCTTCTTTTTACCGGATTTTTAGTTTTGAGTGGTCAAAGTAAGCATGCCTTTTGCTCATGGTTGATAATGAATTAGAGAAGTTCGGAATGTCAAAGAAAAAGAGGGGTTGTTCAAGGGCATGGAAAAGTAAATATTGCAGCAATGGCGCTCGATCTGAACCGAAGAGAAGTGGTTGACGTGAAAGCTAAGGGTCGTTTGGATGAGGAATTGTAACGGATCAATTTGACACAATTGTCTCGTTTTGAGATAATTGTACCAAATTGTCTCGTTTGCCAGCAAAAAATTTGGATAGATCAATCTGTCTGAGGTATTTTGAATTGATCCGTTTTGAGTCCATTTCAATTACCTAAGGTGGGGGCAGGTAATTCGAATTGACTCGTTTTATTTGCCTCGTTAATAAAACGAAACAATTGATCAAATTAACTTATTTCTAGATTGATCCATCCAAACGAACACTTAGTAACTAGCTTAAAGTTAAGAAAATCGTCCAATTTGGCCTTTGATGTATAGCGTGGATTAAAAGTGGTCGACAAATATATATGTCTGCTTATGAATAATGATTTATAGCTCATTTTGCGAGTGTACTGCTTTTAATTCTCTCAATCTCTCAAAACTTCCACCACATCTTTGGAATTCACTTAACTTCATCTCTTTATCCACCTAGCCTTTCTCTACTACATTAATATAGCCACCTCCTGATTAGTTGTTAAAATCTTGGATTAATTTACACAATGAATTTATAAATAACATAACCACTTTGACCCTGACCCGGTGAGAAAAACTGGCCTCACACACCTGTCGGGTCGATCGGGACAATGTATCAGATTGGAAGTCAAATTGTGTCATTTTTTTCTTTGGTTTGCGAAATGCGCCTATTTTCCAATTTTTCGTTTCGTCTAACTCAATCTTTGAAATCCTTAGTTGAACATTTGAATATTGATGTTATATAAGTGTGTGTGAATTTTCACTATATGTTGGATCTACGTACGACATGTTACTTTGGTACAATTTTATACGTAATTACTCATATGTTAAATGAGATTTGATATAATTTATCAGGATAAGTACAATATAATGACCATTTTCATATATCTGGGCTAAAATAGATGACCCATTAGCTCGACTGGGTCCGGGTCAACCGCAGGTTAGACAACCTTGTAACATATCAACATATCAATCATAAAGGAAAGATTAAAATAATTGAAAAGCAACCAAAAATATTATTTCGGCCAAAGGCCGGGCCCATAGCTAGTAACTACTAACTAAACAAGGAAAATAAAGGGTAAGAGAGAAAGCCTACCGAGCTGAGATTATATATATAAATAAATATGTCACATTCAACCCTACCCTAGATACGTACAGCTCCTGCCTGACTATCATATCTCGGCGGCCGTAATGGATTACTCTCAACTGCCGGAGGAGCTAATAGAGAAGATAGCGAGGGATCACTTGGACGCCTATCCCCGCCTCTTTGCTTTCCCCAGGGTCTGCAAATCATGGAGATCCACCGCCCTCCGACTCCACCGCCGCCGCCAATCGTGCCTCCCGGGACTGCTCGTACCCAAACGCGTCGAATCGCAACCCCCGCTCCACTCGTATTACAACAGCGACCTAATCCACGAGTTCTATCCCCTCGCCACAATTTCCCCTGCCGCCGCCGCCGCCGACCGGCCGCCGTCCCCACGTGCCACTCTCTCCTTCTTTCCTGCTCCGACCAAGCTATCGGATGCCCTAGGCCAACGCAACCGCTACCTCGACCTCTACCGCAATGCAGTCGACGAATTCGAACCACCGCCGCCGCCTTACTACGATGATGACGACAACGACGACGACGATGAAGACCGATCCTCGTTATGGTACGATGATAATTGGTTTAGTCGTATAAATACATCTTCTTCTGCTCGTTGCTTGGGTTCCAAAAACGGATGGATCCTCCGCACCCTCCCAGGAGGTCATCACCCGCAGCTGGAACTGTACCTCCTAAACCCGTTCACGGGCGCCTCCGTCCCTCTCCCTCCCCTTCAAGGAAGCATCTCCAAAGCCATCATCTCCTCTTCCCCTGACGACGACGACGAAGAATGCCACGTGTTCATCGTTCCTCGATGGGGTGGGAGAGTAAAGTGGTGCAAAGCAGGAGCACGAGGAGGATCAGGACAATGTCGTGGTGGTTGGGGATTCGTCGGCGACGACATTGATTCTAGTTTCGTCGATTACCCCGAGGATGCAGTGTGCTTCGGAGGCAACCTCTACGTGGTGGAGTATTACGGCCGAGTCCTCGTCTTTGATATAACGTTCGCTACTCCTTCGAGGTCATTCACGTTCTCCGACGCCATGTACGAGGTGACGATGTGGAAGTTTTGCCACTTGTGTGAGCTCAACGGCCAGCTCCTCGTCGTCATAAGCGAGGACCGGCTGGAATCCATCCTTCCCCGGGTCTTCAAGCTACAAGGAGGAGGAGGATTGGGTGACGTCGACGACGACGGCGGCGGCGGCGATGGCGGTGCTGCTAGTTACTATTGGGAAGAAGTGAGGAGCTTGGATGGATATGGTGTGTTCATAGGGCCGCACGAGTCTTTCTCGGTCCCGTCTTGTGCTGACGGGGTGAAGGGCGACCACATCTACTACGCGTTGGATCATGCCCGGCCTCATGCCTGGCCATTGGAGTATTGGTTCAACTGGAATGGCGTGTTCGATCTTGTTAATCAAAAGTTCGAGAGCTTTGCTCTTGGTCGTCGGGACGACGGTAGGATATGCTCCGAGACGCATCCCTCTTTCTGGTTCCTTCCTATGACCTGGTAATTCACTAACTGGACTTCTTGTATATGTTATCATCGCATGCCATCTCTATTGTTATTATTAACACCAACTCTTCTCTCGTCAATGCTACATATATAATGGACTATATATGTATTAGGGTGTTCAAATTGTTACCGTAGTAATCACCAAACTAATTAAGGTTAAACTAATACAACAACAAGATTAAGTTCAACTGTTTGGTTAATTTACTAACCGAGTTAACCAATATAACATGGCATTATCATTAGGCGGGAAAGAAAAATATTTCGATAATGCGTTAATCTCGTAAGGCCGTAACTATATCAATAATGAAGTATAAGTATTAGCACATAGTTAACCCTTAATATAAATACTTGCAATTGATAAAATTATATTACAATTACCAGAAGTATTCACTTAACAAAAATATATGCAAAATGATAATAGGGTTAAGAAATTGGGCGCGTCAGCGCGTGAATTGCCTTGATATGATCTTAGTAATTGTCAAAGGAATAAAAATCTCTTCAATTTCAGTTTTTCATCCAACATAATGTATGAGATTTATTTAAATTATGTGTCGTATGTCGTTGTCTCTTATCTGTAAGAACAATACAATATAGGTACAATAATGAGTTTTTTTTTATGGATCCAAAAGGGAAGAGTGCTTGACTTTGAGTGATTATGGAAAATAATTAGTACAAGAGGATAATATATTAGATATATGATGAATTATTTAATTGGTTTGTTACGAGCGATCGAAACCAAATCAGCTAAGCTAAATTTTTTTAACCAAACCAATTATTTAAATTAACAAAACCAAATCTCCATAATACAACCGGTTAAAAACGACTACCACGATAACCACACCATTCGAACAGTCCTAATATCTGCCACTACCATGCAGGGATATTTCTAAGCTACACGACAGACATATAGAGAAGAAAAAGGCTTGGAAACGGGAGCGCCTACTTCCGGGATCAGAGCATTGGAAGTTGCCAAAGAGAGCAATCAGGAACCCTCAACATCCTGCTGATCATAATATTGCCCGCACCAACAGATTTCAAGCTTTGCTATCGGACGAGGAGGAGGATGATGTCGAGGAAGATTAGAAGGAGAAAGTGCAACAAGAAGGAAGGATGGATGGTCAAAAACAACAAAACGACGCCAGTCAGAGGGTTTTGATAAATGGGTAACTGTTTGTTGTTTTCTTTTACCAATGCGAAGAAAGCAGATATGTAGCTTTGGCTACTACTTTGTTGCTTTTGGCTACCCATTCTTCAACTTGATTAAGAACGAGAACTCATGTTGTAGTGATTATGGAAGCTATGAATTTTTGTCCTGTTAGAATGAACTCGTAGTGTAGATGCCAATTAGAGGTTATAGAGAACTCTACAACATTGTATGCAATTAATTTCCTTACATTGATCATTTGTATGAATTATGTTTATGTGTCGGGTTAGTATTTATCAGAGAATTGATGTTAGATTGCAGTAGCTATATAATTGAGTTTATTAATACAGTAAACTATCGTCCTAAAAAACATGGAATAGAAACGCTATTATCCCCTCCTTCATATTTTTTTTGAAAAAAACATTTGTATAATTAAAAATTTCACTTATTTGCATATGCAGTGAACGTCCTCAGACAAGTCGTCCACTCTCCATGTCAACAACATGTCTTGGCACCCTATACAGTCCTTCGTTACTTGAAGCATGCTCCGGGATGAGGTTTGTTTTTTCCATTGATTAGCTCGTTAAGTCTCACTGCTTACTATGATGTAGACTGGGGAGGTTGTCAAGAAACTCGCCGCTCTACGTCAGGGTACTTTATCCATCTTGGTGATAGTCCTATTACATGGAGAACCAAGAAGTAGTCAGTAGTAGGGCATTCTTCAGCTGAGGCCGAGTATAGGGCCATGGCGATGACATTCAGTGAAGTAATTTGATTGAGATGGTTGCTGAAAGAGTTGGGACTACTTTGCCTATATATCAACTCCATTGCATTGTGATAATCAAGCAGTTTTATATATTGTTGCTAATCTAGTTTTGCACGAACATACTAAACACGTGGAAATGTATTTTTATTTTGCGCAAGAGCGCGTGAGCTCTTCAAGATAGCTCCACAAAAGATCTCGACAAATCATCAGGTAGCAAACATCAGATTGGACGCAGAACAGTTCAACTATCTTATGTCTAAACTTGGCCTTCATGTCATCCAGACCTTCACTTGAGGAGTGTCATATGATGTAGTATTGTCCTCGTGTCTTGGTTAAAGACACATGAAGTGTTGTTGCGTAATTATGCATACTAACAATAGTCTATGAAGTAATTTGGTTGAGTGGTTGCTGAAAGAGTTGAGAGCTACTTCGCCTAGACCAACTCCTTTACATTGTGATAATCAAGCAATTTTACATATTGCCGCTAATCCAATTTTGCAGTAAACGTATTAAAAATGATGAGCGGGTGAGCTCTTCAGGATAGCTCCGCAGAAGATCTCGACAAATCATCAGGTAGCAAACATCTTCACGAAGGGATTGGGCGCAGAATAGTTCAACTACCTTGTGTCCAAGCTTGGCCTTTATGTCCTAAGACGTGGTTTTGTCCTCGTGTATTGATTATAGACCCATGAAGTGTTTTTACGTAATTATGCATGCTAGCCTTAGTTGTTTACATGAAGAAAGGGTTAGTGTAGCATATATTATATATGTGGTGTGTTATTTGAGAGTTAAATCAATAAAATCTAAATGAGAACTCTTGTTTGAGTTCTCTTTGGATTAGTCTCATTCACATTGAACGAGGATACCACATATTCATCGCGTCGTTACTCTTCCGCATTACAGGTTTTTTCATATTCAGTATTTGACTGCTTTGTTTCAGTTTACGGTGCTACTAGTGAGGTGGGGGTTAGAAACAAAAAAGATGAGCCTCTAGTTTAGTTGCACTTGAATTCGCCAGTAATACTCAACAAAAGACAATGTTTATGCTGAAGGAACTTGGATAACAAAGTTTTGTATGAACACATGGATGGTTATGGTTTGGTTGCTGCTAACTCACTGCCCTGCATCTACATTCTAGTTACCTAGTTGGATGGCCATAAAAAAAACTATGGTTTATTACTTTGTTACCTTTGTGCTCTTTGCGAACTTGGATGACCACAAACACATGTGCGTGCAGTTAGATGTAATCAACCCATCCAAGAATTTGGTAGAATCAAAGGCATGAGCTGATGCTTTCTTTTTGAAAGCCCCAAGGAATGATGAGGAACTCAAAGAGATTGGACGAAGAACGATTGTACAAATCCCCATTTTACATCTCTGGGTTTTTGCTAACATGATGGCTCAGGGAAGAAGCAGTGCAACCATGACTATGTTGTTGCTGCTACTATTGACTCATCCCAGCAAGCAAGCCAACGCAACAACTTACTTGGTAGGTGGGCCTGGCGGCTAGACTTTCAATCTGGATTCCTAGCCCAAAGGGAGGACCTTCAAAGGTGGGGGGTACCCTTTGTAAGTTTGTCCCACTAACTCAAAATCTCTTGCTCTCCACTAATACTTGTCAAACTCTTGATCAATCAAAGAAAAGCATAAATCACGACACAAGATTTACGTGGTTTCGTCGATGATCGTTGAGACTAGTCCATGGCACAAGGCAGAGTTCTTGATTATTATTACGTACACCTTACAGTAGAAACTCGGCCGAGTATTAACCCTAAATTAGGTTAATTACAGTTAGGTACTCCTAACTTCTACCGCCCTCCCTCAAATTGATGGTGCTGATGCAACATCAATTTGTGTGCTAGAAACCAATGACGTGACGAAGACACTGCTTTAGTCAACAAATTTGATGTTTGATCCTCTGACGTAATATATGATAACTCCACATAGCCCTCTATAACTAGCTGACGAATATAGTGAGCGTGAACCTCTATGTGCTTGGTCCTATCATGTAAGACCGGGTTCGTAGCAATACGAATAGCACTGGTGTTGTCAACAAACAACTGAACATGAGTAGTAATATTAACATCCAACTCGGCTAACAATCGACATAACCAGGTGATCTCTAATGCAACCTCGCTCATGGAACAGTATTTTGCCTCTGTGGGTGACTTTGACACATGATCTTGCTTCTTACACCTCCGTGAAATGAAAGAGTGACCCACTTTGGCACACCACGTGGAAGTCAAATGTCGTGTATCAAGACAACAAGCATAGTTTGCATCAGCATAAGCATCCATCACAGCTTCACCACATGCAGGAAACATCAAGCCGACCTCCTGACTGTCGTTGGGATAGCGAAGAATACGCTGGACTGCAGTCGAGTGAGTAGTACGCGATGCAAACATAAAATGACTCACAACCTGTACAACATATGAAATATTCGGGCGTGTGTGAGTCAAGTAAATCAAGCTTCCTACTATACTGCGATATAGCGAGCCATTAGACAATAAATCACCATCCCCCTGTCGAAGCTTGAGATTTTGTTCCATGGGAGTAGCGCAAGGAGCGCAATCATCCATCTGTGCCACTACATCAAGTCCTAAAAAATAACAAAGATCACCTAATTCCTTTAAATTAAACGCAGATCTTAGAGTCTGAGTTATATCCTGAATGCCCTCGACATCATCTCCACTAATCACCATATCGTCAACATAGATCAGGAGAACTGTGAGGCCGCGAGTAGAAGAACGTAGGAAGAGGGAGGGATCACTATCACTCTGCACAAAACTAACCTGAATAACAGTAGCATAAAATTTTTCGAACCACGCCCGTGGTGCCTGTTTCAGGCCATATAAGTATCGACGAAGCCTACACACCATAGAACTATCACCCTTTGTATACCCAGGAGGAAGCTCCATGTATATAACCTCCTTGAGATCACCACGAAGAAAGGCATTTTTCACATCCAACTCAACCAACGACCAATTCTTCATAGCTGCGGCAGCTAAGAGACTCCTAACCGTCTGCATTTTGGCTACCGGCGCAAAGGTCTCGGCATAGTCAATACCATACTCTTGTCGAAATCCTTGCGCCACTAACCAAGCTTTAAAATGTTCCACCGTTCAATCGAGATTCATTTTAACACCAACGTCCAATAACTGAGAACTCAGGAGAGCGGGGAACCAAATCCCATGTATGTGCGGCTTCGAGTGCTTCCGTTTCAACATTCATGGCATTATCCCATTCAGCATGCCATTTGACTTGCTTATAAGTTGCTGGAACAAAGACAGTCGGGGTGGAAAAGTTAATAAAGTCAGAGTGCCAAAGAGGAGGCTGACCTCGAGTTGCTCAAGTGGAGCGCCGCAGCAGGGGAACTTCGGCTTCCACATTTTGAAGGGAGGCATGAAAGGAAGTGGAGTCTTCATTGCTGCTCATGTGAGATGATCTGCTGCCTGTGCGAGATGAAGAGGAACCACTTGTACCAGGAGAGGAAGGCGAGGAAAGAGATGAATCAGCAGAGGAGGAGAGTACGGAGGTGGAGGAGCTCGAGGAAGAGGCAGAAGAGGAATCTTCGTGTGGTGGATCATCAATGGAAGTCGGAATGGACAGCTCAGGCAACTTCAAAAAATCCAAATATGGTAGTGTGGAAAGCTATGAAATAGAAGCTCCAAAGTACAACATGTGTTCAAGAAACACTACATGATAAGATACCCGAATTCGGCGTGCATTAACATCATAACACACATAATCTTTCTGTGTATCGGGACCGGATATGGTGACAACACCATATATGTTGTTATTGTAACAACACTAGTCTCCAACCAATATGAAGCTAGGGTTGTGATGGCTTTTTATTAGTTGAGTTGACCTAGTGTAAAGTCAAAGCAGGGGTATAATTGTCATTATGAAAAATATGTTTAAATAATAAAAAAAATAATAAAAAAAATTTTCCTGAACAAAATTTTGGTCGCCGGAATTCGGTCGCCGGTCACCGGAATATGCCACTGTCGCCGAAATATGCTCATCGGCGTCGGAATATGCTTACCGGCGTCGGAATCTAGACATCGGGGCTGGAGTATGCCTATCGACGCCGAAATCTGCTCACTGAAGGTCATCGGAGTTTGGTCAACAGTCAACGGTCACCGGATGTTATGGTCTATGTTTCCTGCTCTGTCCCCGCGATTGAAAGCGCCAGATCTGGAGTTCTCGCGGCCGGACAACATGGGA